TGATTTCTTCATCATGAAAATTGATGGTCATGCGATTAGTTCAAAAACTTTTTCTGTCGTTACGACATGTTGCTGAGGAATACTTCATCAAATGTACATTGTATAGAGACGTCGAAAATTAGAATATAGCATACAATGAATTCAATTGATTTATAGCAAATGTTGGGATTGAAAATATTTTTTAAATTGAGTTTAAGAAGGTTGGATGATAATAATGCGGTAGATTGAGTAATATTCCGTGAGAAATATGCCTTAGGTACATAGTCATCAACTTCTAAAATTATAATAGCGTTAATATTGATGAATATTTAGTTATTTGGGGCGTTTTTGCGTTTTATCAAAATATGAATGTGAATAATATGAATGATACCTTTGTCTTTCAAAAAATGTTATATATAATGTTATATAACCGACCCTTTGGTCTTGTATGGTTTTGTTATTTCTCTCTACGTGGATTCTTGAATCCTGAATAGACTTGTTTTTTATCAACTTTGTCAGAAAGAAAAGAGTGCTGGCAATCACTTGTAAATATTGCTGTAATTAATCAGTCGTTTATTCAATTGAGAAAATCGTTAGAATACAGCACAATAACTAATCAACCGGTAAATCACAGAATAAGACCAATCATCAATAATTAAGCTTCTCTCGTCAGACTGATTATATATATTGAGTTTTTCTAGCCCTGGCATTCTTTACTGCAGTGAGTTTCTAGCTATAAAGAATCTTACTTTTGACCCCAATGTTGTAATCTTCTGAAGATCCCACTTCTGACACCAGTGTCGTAACTTCTTCGACCTCGTAACAACCAACACTAATTTTATATTTTCAATACTCTCTAAATCTGCAACACCGTGTTGTTGTTTCCAACAATAGTTATGAGTTCGTTTATCCGTAAGTTCAAAATTTAAAAGCAAACTAAGTTGAACGTTTATCTCAAAACCAGCAGTAATAGAAACAAGAAATTTGTTCAAATAATCACATTTACGAATTCGCATCGAATCTCACTTCTAGTTCTCTTTGTTTTGTCATCTTCTTCGTTCTTATTTTCCCCAATCTCGCTTCTGCGTTGTTTATATAGCTACCGATCTGCTTGTAAATGTGCCATATAGCCGTAACATGCCCATAAATCAATTTGCAACCATTTTAATTACCTTACACCATTTAATTATTTTACAAGCGGTTCATTCCTCAATGCATGTTTAACAATTGCTAACTATTAGTTATTTTTATCTCGATCTAACGTCTGTAACAAAAAAAATAATAGTATTTGATTGATTTTTGAGTGATTTTTAAAGATCACGTAGGATAAAAAATTAAAATGTGCACGCATATTTCATGAATTTGTAGTACTTTTTTGGTAAACAATTTGATTAGATGTAATATACGTAAATAAAACCTTTGGCAATGAAAACATGGCAATTCTATATTGTAAAAAAATATGTGAGAAGATAAAGTTAAAAAAGCAAAAAACAGTTATAAAAATCGTGTTCTGTGATAAATGTAAAAGGCACATTACATATTTTTCTTTAACTTCGATAAATGAGTTTAATTTTTGTTTGATTCATAAACACATTTTCAAAAATGTAATGAATACAATTTTGTTATTTTCTTAAATGACAAATAAGTTTATGTAAAAAAATGGAAAATGAAAAGTTTTGTAATTAATTTAATTAAAAAGAACCAGTCAGCAGGCACCAGCTCCCTCGAGTCTGACACTAGGTCGGACAGGAACGATCCTCGTTAAACGAACGTCCGAGATCCCATTGAGGGAGCAGGCAGACGTGCATTTGAGTCTCACGCTCAGGAGTAGGTGCTACGACTCGTCATCCTGGTTTTAGTGTTATAGTCAGTTTTGACTGACGTCCAGGCGATGCATACTATAGAAATGATCCCTAAAAGTATGATCTTAAAAACCATCTAAACTTGTGAACCTATTATACCAGTGTGGTTAATTAGTTAGTGGTGTTTTTTTTATAGTCTGAAAAATAAATAAATAACTCTTAAAAATTAATATATTATTTTACTTTTTTTGACAAGTTTTGCAGAAAAAAGTACAAAATAATATAAAATTACTACAATTTTTAAAATATAATTTGTTTGAAATTTCCTACCATTAGCGAATTAAAATGAACAATTTAGTAATGTGGCGATGCGACAAACAGTTTTAACTGTGATCCAATTTAGTTATCCCTCATCATGAAAATTGATGGTGACGCGCTTAATTATTGAAAAACAATTTTTGTCGTTACGGCATGTTACTGTGGAATACTTCATCATATGCACATTATTTAGAAATGTTGATAATTACAATATAGTTTACATTGAATTTGATTGATTTTATAGCAAACATGTATTTTTTGCGTACATTGATAAGCTATAATAAACGTGATCTATAATTATTATTTAACACAGTAGTCGGCAATTTTAACAATCATGTTCGTTATAACGCTAGTAAGTAGATATTTGGTTGTGTTAATTACATATATAACTAAAAAAATTGGTATATTACAAAAATGTTTCAGAAATGAATGATTGTGGACCGCAATTAAAGAAGTATGGAAAAATAAAAGTTTTTGAATTAATTTAGTTGAAAAAAGAACCAGTCAGCAAGCACCAGCTCCCTCGAGTCTGACACTAGGTCGGACAGGAACGATCCTCGTTAAACGAACATCTGAGATCTCATTGAGGGATCAAGCAGACGTGCATTTAAGTCTCACGCTCAGGAGCAGTTGCTACGACTCGTCATCCTGGTTTTAGTGTTATAGTCAGTTTTGACTAACGTCCAGGCGATGCATACTATAGAAATGATCCCTAAAAGTATGATCTTAAAAACCATCTAAACTTGTGAACCTATTATACCAGTGTGGTTAATTAGTTAGTGGTGTTTTTTTTATAGTCTGAAAAATAAATAAATAACTCTTAAAAATTAATATATTATTTTACTTTTTTTGACAAGTTTTGCAGAAAAAAGTACAAAATAATATAAAATTACTACAATTTTTAAAATATAATTTGTTTAAAATTTCCTACCATTAGCGAATTAAAATGAACAATTTAGTAATGTGGCGATGCGACAAACAGTTTTAACTGTGATCCAATTTAGTTATCCCTCATCATGAAAATTGATGGTGACGCGCTTAATTATTGAAAAACAATTTTTGTCGTTACGGCATGTTACTGTGGAATACTTCATCATATGCACATTATTTAGAAATGTTGATAATTACAATATAGTTTACATTGAATTTGATTGATTTTATAGCAAACATTAGGATTGAAAATATTTTTTAAATTAAGTTAAGGAAAATTTGTTGTTAATAATGCAGTATATTGGGTTTTTGTATGTAAAAAAATGATAGTTTATAAAAATCTAATTCCTTGTAAAATAGTTTTATTTTTTTGAAAAAATGATGTTTGCGATAATTTGTTTTGAATTTTCAAGTACTAGCGATTTAAAGTAAACTATTCAGGGGTGCATCAAAAAATTTATTATTTGATCAAAATAGTTATCTTTGCTCATTAAAATTAATGATAATGATGCTTTCAATTATTCAAACCAAGTTTTTACTGTAACAGTTATAGTAAAATTCAAGAGACACAACATTTAAAGTCGTTCATTGATTGAATGTAGTTAAATTGAATGATCATCATTTAAAAAAAAAAATAAAAAAAATTTTGAAATTAACTTAGTTTAAAAAAGAACCAGTCAGCAGGCACCAGCTCCCTCGAGTCTGACACTAGGTCGGACAGGAACGATCCTCGTTAAATGAACGTCTGAGCTCCCATCGTGGGAGCAAGCAGACGTGCATTTGAGTCTCACGCTCAGGAGTAGGTGCTACGACTCGTCATCCTGGTTTTGGTGTTATAGTCAGTTTTGACTGACGTCCAGGCGATGCATACTATAGAAATGATCCCTAAAAGTATGATCTTAAAAATCTTCAGAACTTGTGAACCTATTATACCAGTGTGGTTAATTAGTTATTGGTGTTTTTTTTTACAGTCTGAAAAATAAACAACTGTTACAGATTAATATACGATTTTACTTTTTTTGAAAGATTTTGTACAAAATGACATAAAATTAGAAAAATGTTTTAAACATAATTTTGAATAAAAGGATGATTTTTTTAAAAATTTCCTACCACTAGCGAATTAAAACGAATAATTTAGTGATGTGGTGATTCGACAAACAGTTCTAATTTTGATCCATTTAGTTTTCTATCATCATGAAAATTGATGGTCATGCGATTAGTTCAAAAACTTTTTCTGTCGTTACTGCGGAATCCATCATCAAATGCACAATATTTAGGGGCGTCGAAAATTAGAAGTTAAGGAAGGTTAGTTGATAACAATGCAGTAGATTGAGATATATTCCATAAAAAATATGGCATACATAGTCATCAACTTCTAAAATTATATTAGAGTTAATAATGTTAATAAAAAAGTTATTGAAAACATTTAGTTATTTGGTGCGACTTTTGCGTTTTATCAAAATAAGAATGTGAATAATATGAATAAAACCTTTGTCTTTCAAATATGTAAAAAAATGAAAAAAAGAAAAGTTTTGAAATTAATTTAGATGAAAAAAGAACCAGTCAGCAGGCACCAGCTCCCTCGAGTCTGACACTAGGTCGGACAGGAACGATCCTCGTTAAACGAACATCTGAGATCTCATTGAGGGATCAAGCAGACGTTCATTTAAGTCTCACGCTCAGGAGCAGTTGCTACGACTCGTCATCCTGGTTTTAGTGTTATAGTCAGTTTTGACTGACGTCCAGGCGATGCATACTATAGAAATGATCCCTAAAAGTATGATCTTAAAAACCTTCTAAACTTGTGAACCTATTATACCAGTGTGGTTAATTAGTTAGGGGTGTTTTTTTTTACAGTCTGAAAAATAAACAACTGTTACAGATTAATATACGATTTTACTTTTTTTGAAAGGTTTTGTACAAAATGACATAAAATTAGAAAATTGTTTTAAACATAATTTTGAATAAAAGGATGATTTTTTTAAAAATTTCCTACCACTAGCGAATTAAAACGAATAATTTAGTGATGTGGTGATTCGACAAACAGTTCTAATTTTGATCCATTTAGTTTTCTATCATCGTGAAAATTGATGTTCATGCGATTAGTTCAAAAACTTTTTCTGTCGTTACTGCGGAATCCATCATCAAATGCACAATATTTAGGGGCGTCGAAAATTAGAAGTTAAGGAAGGTTAGTTGATAACAATGCAGTAGATTGAGATATATTCCATAAAAAATATGGCATACATAGTCATCAACTTCTAAAATTATATTAGAAATTATAATGTTAATAAAAAAGTTATTGAAAACATTTAGTTATTTGGTGCGACTTTTGCGTTTTATCAAAATAAGAATGTTAGCGTTTTATCAAAATAAGAATGTGAATAATATGAACGAAACCTTTGTCTTTCAAATATGTAAAAAAAATGAAAAAAAGAAAAGTTTTGAAATTAATTTAGATGAAAAAAGAACCAGTCAGCAGGCACCAGCTCCCTCGAGTCTGACACTATGTCGGACAGGAACGATCCTCGTTAAACGAACGTCCGGGATCCCGTTGAGGGAGCAAGCAGACGTGCATTTGAGTCTCACGCTCAGGAGTAGGTGCTACGACTCGTCATCCTGGTTTCGGTGTTATAGTCAGTTTTGACTGACGTCCAGGCGAT